CGATCTCAAATTTAGCCAGATTTTTAGGATCTTCTTCCTTTCATTACGTATTTCGTTTTGGTATGAATAATATAATTTTGCTATTTTTGGAAAAATTCCTATAATTAATATTTTCTAGCTATTTAACCCGACTTGTGAGTCATTTTCGTTCAGTTGTTGAATAATAAAGAATTTTCTCGTTTCTCTTGCGTTCTTCTCTGTACTTATCAATTGGTTCCAGCCTACAGAATAATCACTATTTTGTCCGGCGTCAACATGCCAACCCAACACATCAACAATGAGCATTTGATTCATACATATTTCAAACTTTCAAGACAATTAATGTTATTTAAGTATTGAATTTGAACCTCCATCTATTAATTCATATGGACACGGAAATCTTTGTAAACACCAAAAATTCTATAAATCTTCTACAGACATGATTCAAAAACGAAAGTTGAACACAAAACCACATTATTTCTCCATGAACAAAAATAATGTACACGGAGTCTTCAATAAAAGAAATCAAAAATAGATTGCAACTCAACGCTCAAGCCTAACAATATTGCAATTATCCATAATTACGTCGAGCCTGACATTTCTAATAAAATAAATAAATCACACTCCAATAGTCGAACCTGACATTTCTAATGTCGAGCCATATAAATCAATTATCTAGCCTGACAATTGAAGTTCTCTACCGAATGTTACATTTAGGGGAGAAGACGCTTCACTCCAAGCTGCAAGTATACTTAATTAGTCCTGGAGCAGTGATATCTGGCTGCACAATGACAGATAAAGAAACTGAACTAAACAAGCTAGACCTTTACTCATAATTAAACTTATATTCATTAGTTTGGACTGTTATTATTACCTTAAGGAGCCATGAATCGAGCTGGTTTAGTGCCTATTACGGTCTTTGGTTGAATCAACGTGACATTTTAATTCTGATTAATTTCAATGTAATTGTAGAAGTCAATTTTATCATAATAAAGATTTTGTAAAACTTTCTGGGAATCCAGATGAGCAACCGGACGTCAGCATGCTCAGACCGGACATCGGACCTTTCGGCCGATTTTCCCCTTTTTGACCACATTTGATCCGATTTGAATCTTGGATGTTTCTTTGAAACTTGGCTCTTAGGCTCTCATCTTAATCTTTTTTCGACATTTGGCTTTTAAGCTCTTGATCTTGATCTTTCTTTGACATTTGTGTTTTAAACTTCGCTTAGATGGCTTGATGACTTCGATCTTGACCTTTATTGTGAGTCTGATTTGATAGTCTTCATATTGATCTTTTAACGACGATCGATCAATTTATCATTGAATCATTTGAAAACTATAATCATCGAATTCAATTGTTAGAAAACGAAACTTGTTTGTTATAATCAAACTTTAAAATTATAATCAACATAGGTCAACAAGTTGGTGACCACAGGTGAGAGTAGTGGTGGCAAAAAAGCTCGCCGGCTCGGGTTCGGCCCGGAAAAAGCCCGAGCCGGGCCCGGCTCGGGCCGAGCCCCATTTTGGGGGGTCAGCCTGTGATTAATAAAAAAAAATTTTAAAGCTAAAATAGCTGAAAAAAATTTAAAAAAAATAAAAAATCGAGCCGGCTCGGCCCGCTAAGCT